AAAAATTATTAAGCTCATGATTTTCTTGAAAATTTTGGTGAATCTAAAATTCTAATGGGTAGTTATTATGAGTTATTAAAATGTTTATACGAGTAGCATGGACGAATAGCACCTAACCTTAAAATGGTCATAAATAATATAAACTGTGCCTATGTCACAAATAATATATAGCATTTATTTTACTTGGATCAGTTATACAAATTACTTATATAGGTATAGTTATATTGATAGATCAATAGTAAATTACTATTAGTAATAATTTCTAATATTTTTAATTCGCCTAGACTTCCACATAAACTATTATCCATTGCCATATCATCATAAATATACAAAGCTATATAACTCAAAAAACATAATCGCTAGAATTTTGATTTAGATACATTAAAATTATCTAAAAAAAAAATTCTGCTAAATTATTAAAAATGTACAAAAAGGGGGAAGATAATATTTTAGAATAGAAGATATGTATTTCACAGTTTCATCTTTATTTGGTACAAAAATCTCAATTACCTATTCAAAAATATGGTCTTCTGGTGTATTTAAAATTCCAAAAATTAGAATTTGATTCATAAATTTAGCATTCAAATAGGGTGAGCATRCTTAAAATTCTTTGTGTAGTTTTTACATCAATTTCTGTTGATATTGGAAATTCTGGCAATATATTATGTAATGATTGGATGATGTTAATGACAATAATATCAAAAAACCATTCGATAGCTATTGTTGGTAGTTGGTATATTATATTTCTGTAATCGATTTCTCAAAATATATGAAGTCAATGTAATTATACGAGTATTGTAGCGATATTTCCTAAGCTGATCATGAAACTTAATATTACTTTCTCGGCTTTATTACTATTTTTTAGAGTTAGAGATATATGAGGATTAAAAATTTGTTTATATGTGRACGAACGGATAAGATATAGAGTTTCGATACCGCAATGTCACATTGTACGAATTAAACTGGAACTATAGATAAATTTCAGAGTTTTAATTTTTAATTATTACGTCAGTGGCATAACTAGGGCTAAAATGTTGAGGGGGGGGGATTGGCTGTACTTCTACCTGATATCTCATGAAAAGTAATCCTGGGGGTATTACCTCGATACCCACGTACATATATATTCACTTAAAAATATAATAAATTATATAAACAAATATTGGTACCTAATATACAGTACTGTATAGCCTAGTTKTCGTGTACCTATCATTGTAATGAATATGTTAGATTTGAATTCAAYGATGAATAATTGAATTCAAAAAACGATTGTGAGCGAAGGCGGTGAGTCATCGCAGCATACATTTATTTATAATACAATTTAATAATTAAAAACTGCTGAATGTAAAAAAATTGTAAAACTTTTAAATTCAAACGTTTATAAAAAAAAGTAAAAGATGGATAATAAATAGAAATAAATGGGAAATTCTTTATAAATATATCAAGTGTACGGTTATTAGTTTTTAAGTTACACAAAAAAAATAAATACAGTTTCATTTTAAAAGGTTTATTAATATTTTAGGAAACAATTGAGTAATTTAATGTTATTCTTAATTTTTTTTTTGAGAGGGGGGTCTAAACCTATCCTTGATACGCTTATGAATTGCATATATCAAACTTGTGAGAATAAATTCTTGTTTAAATAAAAAAATAAATTTTTATAGAAATACAGTTTATTAAATTTGAAGTATAATAATATAAATTTTCATTAAATATACGTGTAACAGAAAACGCAGTACGTATTATATCACGGACTCTCGGTTATACATTAATTATATTAAATKWTATTATATTCGACCGTTGAAAATTTATTTTTCTCAGTAAATTAATTTATTTCAATCATATCCTCAATACAGTCTCATCTTCTTTGAAAATCCTTTATAACTGTTCCTTCGTAAAACTTGTACTTTAATAATGGATCTGCACTTTGGGACTAGGATACTACTTCTGTCTGGATTATGATTGAGCATATTTAGAGAATACTTTTTCAATTTGTTTTATTTAAACTAACATAAGTTTATTATGTCACTTGCTCACTCGCAAACCAGTTAAAATAACTTCTTGGTTTGTTTGGTCAAACTGATCGCTGTCTTGCTGGCAATTGTCTATTTCCTATTTAAATTTTAAATTCTTGATTAATTTTTAGAAAGAATAATTTCGAAAGGTATTCCAGATACAACTAGTAGTTATTAKTAATATGTCCTCGATACAGCAGCATCGAGGGTGCGTGGCGATGCAAATAGTATGTGAGAAAAATAACAGAAATAAATCTACGAATCGAGCACACAAGGTATATCACCTTGGTGATATTATAATAAATTGTAATAATTATGGCAAAAACAGAATGACTATACTTTATTGAAAGTAATTTATGAAAGAAGTCTTATGAGTTTTTCAAATGATAAATTAATTAAGTAAGTCAGCAACTTCGTGAAACACATGTCTGTGACGTAAGCATTTCACCAACTGACTGAACGGGTGAACAGTTGTCGGAAGTGTTGACGAATCTATGATAAACGCGYGGTGAAATGCTTATGTCACATTACTTGGTTGGATGATGGAAATTGGATGTGCGATTTGTTTCGGAAGTGGTATATTGCTGATTCTCAATTTGAATAGATATTAATTATTTTTATAATCTGAAAATTACACGATGACAAATACACATAGTTTTGCTCTGCATTTTTATCTTGAATTTTTAGCTTCATATTATATTACTTTATTATTTATTTACGATTTAATAAAATTTTTAGGTACCTACAAATTGGCGTTAGATAATTTTCATTTTCTTGTTTAAAAAAAAAAAATGTTGTAGTTATCAACTATACAATTAAAATAAATATCGTAAGAGTAAATCAGTGAGAGTTCCGTCTCACTCTGATCTCTGACCATAGCTCAAAAATATCACTGAGCATACAAATTTCAAATTATACATCGAAAAATCAGGCTATTATAGGTACAAAGAGGTTTTTGAACTTTGAAAGTATATGTGAATTAATACATGATGAAAATGCTTGTAGTTACCACTTACAAAAATGTCCAATGCTCATATGCGTGTAACTTAAATACTTATATCACAAAATAAACTAATCATTGCATTACCAYGGATGGTACCAGCTATCTCAAAGGAAAAAAAATTACATTTAAATTAATTGAAGTTATCGAATATGCATTGCATTAAGAGTGCAAATAAGATTTATATAGCTCAGTGGTCTTATATCTTTTGAAGATTGCTCCCCCCCCCTGGAAATCAAAATATTTTATATTGCCTCTCCCCATTCATGAAAAAATTGGGAAAAGGGCATTTTATTAAAAAATAAAAATAAATTTACGACCATTGAAAAATGAATAGTAAAAATAATATATTTGAATAATTTTGTTTATTTAAAAATTCCAAAGTTAATTTAATTTTGATCAGTAAGATGGCTGTACCTACTTGGTGGTGCAGAGCCAGCTTATTCGTTTTATGTCCAATACTGGTGAGATAAAAGCCGTTTTCTCTTTTAAAAAATTAGATTCATTATACTCGAAGATTACCTGTGGACATCTGAGGATACAATATACTAGAAGGAATTTATGGATTGTGAAAATAACCAGGTAAGCAATTGTGCGTCATTTAGCGAAATGTATCTATAATTTAGTTTTAGGTTCATTTTAATATAAATTATAAGCAAATATTATTCCCAAGCCACCCCTCTAGAGGCGATATCGTCCTCGTTCAGAACCAATGAATATAGCATAGAATATATTATACGTCGCGGACTAACGGTAGCCACTGGTTGCTCAAAAAATCTAGAAATATGCGCATTCGAGTCTATAGAACCCTCAAAATTGATATTAATATTCCATTCTAAAAAAATAATAATAATAATAATAATAGCTAACAACAACAATAATGATAATTTATACATGTATTATCGTGTATAGAACTATATGGCAACATTATAACATAGTCGAGTTGAATATAATAGAGGAAGGTGAGGACGAAAATCGCAAATCTCTGACACAGTTCACGGTCCACMGCTACTTTTGTCGATTTCAAAATTATTTTCAAACATCCCGCGCGTTTTCCGTAAACAGAAACTTCTTCTACTGCTAATAATAATAATAATTATTATAGTAATAGTAACAATAAGTACTACATCCATGATTATTCTCGCGCGCACCCTACGTGCATGGACAATGGACATAATAATAATATATTGTATAATAAAATTGTGATGTGATGGTAATATTATAATTAATATTACTGTCGTGTGACGTGCCAAAAAACACTTTGGCGGCAAAATAAATAAATGAATAATAACTAGCCTCGAAAAACAATCCGAAACGCGTTTGTAAGTAGCCGATAATTGGCGAACGACCGGCGCCGGCGCCGACTCTTCTGGGCCGCCGCCGACGACGACTACGGCGACGCTCCGCGGCATCACCGATGCCGCCACCGCCGCCGCCGCCACCACCACCGTGCGACGGGCCAGCAGCTTGCCGGCGTCCGTCCCGAGTTTCCGTTGTGCGTCCGTCCCGTGCCGTCTTCGCGATAACCGCGTCCGCGACCGTTTCTCGTTGTTGGTTATCATTTTTTTTTTTTCCCGGGAAAAATCCGATTTGTAACATAACACCGTGTTGTACGTGTTGTACACGTGTGACGAGTGAAAACGATAAAGAAAAATATAAAATATACGAAAATTGTTAATGCTCTGCGAAATCACACACGAGCGTGTCTCGCGAGGTTGTGTCGATCACGCATGTAATAGAGATTGTGATTCATAATATATATATATTTGATTTTTTCCGATCGGTCGTTAATATTTTAGCGACGTCGTACCAACCTGTGCAAAATATTATCGGATCCACGTGTGTTTTTGGTGCGTGTGCGATCTCCGTCATCRCCATCGGTGTGGTTCGTTTTGGTAGCAGTGTATAATATAATAATATTATCATAATTTTATATACTTAAAATATTACTACCTATTATAATATAATATCGTAGTGTCGGTGTCGTGGTCGTACGGGGGCGTGTGCGTGTGCGCCAGCGATATGTCGTCTGACGAAATCCGAGTTCGACAACGACGCTGACGACGATATTTTGCAATACCGACCGGTCACCGATCGAGGTTTCCATCGGACCACCAGCGTTTTGTCACACCGTTCGTGTCAAAATAATCAGTGATAACTTTAGAGGATCGTCGCCATCGATTTCTGTTAATACCGCGTGTTTTCTTTTCTTTTTTGGTTTTTTTTTTTTTTTTTTTTGACGATTGTGCGAGAATATTATAGTTTAAGTCCGTGAGAATTTCGACGATCACATCTATTGTTGCAGCCGCAGCCGTCGACGACGAAAATCATCTAATTCTCCACTGTCTAACGGTAATTGACAATTATTATACAATATCATAAAATATATTGAACAATGCGTAACTTTTAATAAAATAATAATYGCGCATATCGACTGGTTATAATATTAAACAATAATACTCACTTTTGAATTGCGATGGAGTCAACACCACGAGAGATTGATTAGAACTTTTGTACATGTCATCGCGATGCCTCCCGGTAGATTTTTTCGTGTTTTCAATTCAGACCAATTCTAATTTCGGTTGGGTTGGCCATTTGGTTTWTGGTTTGGTTGACTGTGAATAGCAAATCGAAAAACTCATAGTTTTAGTTAAAGGCTTTAGAAGAGAAAACATACGCTACAATAATAGGTACAAATGTTTTGACTTAACAAAATTCAAAATTTAAATAATATTACGTTATTGTTTAGAAATGAGTTAACCGCTGGTTTTTACCATGGTATGAAAGCAATGTAATATTTATACCTACATTGATAACGTGGTTTTTATATCGACGAGGTGAAGGTTCGTCTAAGTGCCCCATATCACTATTCAAGATTTCAAACTGTCTAGTTCAATAATGCACCGAATTTCTTCTAAGTGCCCCATATCACTATTCAAGATTTCAAACTGTCTAGTTCAATAATGCACCGAATTTCTTCGAAAACAYTCATTTTCTGGCTGACATACATACTCCCGTATTCAACATGGCGCAAGCTGCTTAAAAAACTTCAGTTATCCGAGMAAAACATACGAGTATAACAATAGAGCATCGAGGAGAGAATAGGGACCATGCACGTGCATTATACATAATCTGTTAATCATATTTTAATTTTGCACTAAAACGTGGTTAATAATAAAATTATTGCTCACTCGATCTACAATATTTCCATCGCACATACAACTGAAATTTAGTTGATGAAATAGCTTTTGCCTCGCTTTGGTATAGATTAGTAGCTAACATTATATTATAGGTCCAATTACATTAACAACTAACAAACACATAGATAATAATATACAAAGCGTTTGTCAAGTTAATCATTAATTATGGTATCATAGTTTATAATTCTGTCTATACCTACAGAACAAGTCAAATTAAATACCAGTTACTCAAGATTTTAAGTTATGCAGGTATTACTTAAGTTGAATACTCCACAAGTCACAAGCCTCTTCAAACAGTACTTATAATATTCGTTGGTTTTTATTTGTTTGAAAATACATGTACATTGCATATTGTGTTGTTTGAATGTGATATTATTTCATAGTGTACCTACACATTTTTTACAAGGATAAAGAGTCAAAATTTTAAATTTTATTACCATRGTCATWGGGGCTGAATTTAAATCATCAAAGTTTATATTTATATGATCGATAGTAACCCACATAGGAATATTTGCAGAGCATTTAAAAATATGTCTTTTGTTTTTCTAAAAATATGTTCCCACATGCACCATGTTACAGTAGTCGAAACACATTTCATTTTCATAAATATTTTATAAAATCATAACATAAAAAGTGTACTTACAGTATATATTTATCAATATAACATATTACATTATGTACCTATTGAAATAATCGAATGCTTAATATTATAACAGTGCAATATCACATGGTACCTACGTATACTCTAGTATTATACTATTATAAATGTAMAATACGATTTGACAATTTTTGATTTGGCAGTTAAAAATATGGAATATGCATTAATGCCTCGATAAAGTCAATGTGTAAACAACGAAACTTGATCAACAAAATATAATATTAGGTCAGGTATCTAATTATTGTAAATTTGTTATTATACTTTTTTATGTGAAGAAATAAAAACAACTTCCGCCCTACAGAAAAATAATTCTTGAAATATATTTTGATATATTATCGAAAARCAAAAAAAACACTATGTTTTATATTTGTATACATTTTAAGCTTAAAATCTTGATACAAAATATATTCTAACTAATTTAATATCTTGAGATTATCGTAGTTTTCCTAATATAATACACGTACACAATACATTAATTTTAGTTTCCATTTAAATTAGTAAATTGTTATTATGTGTTATATTTTCTACTCTCAATCTGAAAGCAGTGTAAAGTTTACAAATCCGAAAGTGCATTACTTCTTTTTGAACTAACTTCATAAATAATAAAAGTCATGGAGAACTCTACTTTTATGTATACGTTTTATTTTCCTTTAAAGTTTTGAGACCTTTTCCTATGTTTTAAAACATTAACGATATTAATAATTTCCAAAATTGCAATGTACACTMAAACCATAAYTTTGATTAAATAYAATATACGTTATATTTTTGCTTAAAATTGAATATTTTGGGATTTTGTTTTAGTTCTTATAACTTTTTAACAACAATTTTAAAAAAGCGGGTAAGTCATGGATGTCGCTCTGCTTTACAGTAGGTTACAAGTGGGTTACTGTAATGGATAGAATTAAATTAAAATTCAATGATATTATATCATTGTATACGAAAAACAATTCTGAGCGGAGACGGTTTATCTGTCTAGGATATATTATAGATTATTATTACTTATTATTAATACGGTAGTCGGTATGTTGAATTAATATTATTTGCATGTTGTCCTGAAATAATCAGCGATACTGAAAAAAAAAAAATATTATATGTATACTTTTGTGATTTATACGTATGTTGTCAAAATTCAAACTTTGAATGCTTGTAAAAAAAAATGTGACTATGTATTTCTTTGATATTTCAACTGCTAAAACACACATCATGGTAAAATCAATTATTATAAATTTCTTGCTCTACTCAGAATCTATAAAAAATATTATCCTGATTTTTACTATAAATATTATGTTATTGTGATTTTGCTGTAAAAATGTGTTAATTAGACACTGCCTTATATTTATTATAGGTTTAATCGAGGAACAATTATACTACTTTTTTAAAGTAGTTACTAAATTGTAATATAATGCTTATAGATCTCTATATCACTGGCATAATTATGAAAGAATTTGAGGTGATAAGGAACCTTAGGAACTTCCCCCCCCCCAAAAAAAAAGATCCTAAGATAACTATAATAAATATACATAACATATCAGTTAAGTACGATTTTTAAACTCAACTTAATGTAATTAATGGGTTTATTTTAGTTTCAAATAATATCCTWATTTAAATTTAATATTTTCAGAACTTTTTTTTTATACACCCATACTAGTATACTGTATTACATAATAATTATTAGTTTATTGTTTACCATGTAGCAAAACGGACAAATTATATAACTGACGTCTTTTTAAACTTCAGCCTAATATTTAAATTGTTCGATACATTATATGTTTTCAATATCAGCAAATAAATAAAAATATTAAAATTTTAATGAAAATAAATTRTTAAATAATATATTATTATTGTTAGTTTTTTTACAAAATGTAGTATTGTGATAATTTATTTTAAGGGCTAATTGATTTGGTAAATTATAATTTACCTATAACAATACTATAGTTATTTTATAAAAAATGTATCAAACGAACTTGAATATTAAAAAAAAAAAATGTCCGTTATGTTTAATAATGTTAAATATTATATCATTATCAAAAATCACTATTGTACATGTATACTATAAATAAGCTTTGATTCCGTTGTTTTTGCTGCTTTGGGACGATTAATTTTTATAATAGTGCTATTTAAATTTTAATACTTAACATAAGATTTATAACAACATATCATCATAACAATGAAGCTTTTCAAAAAAAATAAAAAATTGTACACATCAATAAATTTAATTATTATTTTGATGTTGCCATGTTGAATTGTTGAATAACGAACATCAGGACATTCATTCAAAATCAGTGGTTTCAAATTGATATATTTTTTTATTTTTAAAGCAATTTTCATGTAATATCACATGAACTCTTGTCAATTTGGCAGTTGCATAGGGTTGTAAAATCCAATGTTTATTTTAACAAACAAATAGATTTATTATAATATTATTTTTCGATAATCGTTTTAATTTTTGATTTGTTCATGTTGTTTAAGGACTTAATCATTCATATACAAACGTGTAAATACTAAATATTGGTATTATATGTTACTCTCATTTTATACTGTTATTGAATCATAATATTATGTAAAAAAAAATTAAATTAAAATTAAAAATTTATAATAACATGCACCATGCTTATACATTTTAAATACAATGAATAAAATATTTCTTTCACCTTTTATCATGAAAATAAGAACAAGTATGAGGATAATAAAAAAATAAAAATACCATAACGATATTATTACTGCAGTWCAGAAATATACCWCATATTATGTATTGTCTGTGTTTATATCTACTATTATTTTCCACATCGTTTTATATATAATAAAAAAACCATTTTTCTAGAAAGTAGTGGTAACATTTAAAAGGATAAATCAATACAGAAGTAGTTAAAAATATATTTGTTTTTATGTATTTTGGAAAATATTTCATTCGTTTATTTAATTCAAACTAATAACAGTAGTTCGAAACATAAATAATAATCATTAATTTATAATGCTTGATCAACATATTATTAAAATTACATTTGACGRTAAAATATAATCTTAATTTCACAAAATTCTCGAATTTTTGCAGAGTTTTTAAGCAGTACTCTTCCATTGTCAAAAAATATTTGACATATCTAATACCTATACAGCAATATTTTTAGCTTCAACATTATAATTTTATGATACCGATTCCAGTAGCTATTTGGTCATTAGGCTATGTTGAGATCAATTTTTAAATTTTTTCTACCTAAATCTTATACATATATATAAATAAAATTTAAAATTATTTAAGTATCCCGCACTTATATAATAAAATATATTTAAAACATCTAATCAAGTAATCTCTATGATAGATTAAACATTATTTTTATTTTGAAGTACTCGTATATGCATACAACTATTGCGTTTTGAAAATTACACACTATAGAATATATAAACTTCTCGCACAGGAACCACAGAATTGTCTGTAATTAACWACCAATCTGAATGGATTTTCTAATTAAGTTTGAAATTCAAGTTAATGACTAATG